TAACCAATAACTGCCCATGACACAAGCACATTTCAAAGACAGATCAATTACATGGAAGTAGTTAAAGATCAAGTTTGATTTTAAACTTGCGGAAGATACATAAATAGTTTTCATAGGCTTTTAATTTTAAATACAGGTATATGTATTTCTAGGTAAGGATATAGGCATTTGGCATTTGTTTATGTTTCTGAAGAAGAAAGTTTTCATTTCTGCGGCTAATGTTTTCCTAAGAAAGCATTTTTAAATCTGTTTTTTAAAGAAATATAGCAGAAAAAATCTTTATAGTATGTCTTCTGTTTTCATTCTTGTTTCTGTAAGATATTGAGGGCATTCAGTGTTATTTGTCAGTCTGACTCGATGTTGGGGGAAATTCTTCTGTTTTTGTTTCCATATTGTGATCATTTTCATATTGTATATCATTAGCAATTGCATTCCTAATGGCATTTGTGACTAAATTTTCTGACCTTTGTTTCAGAAAAAAATGATTTCCAAGTTGAAGTCATGATTTTTAGAGGGAAAAGTTTTCAACTCTGTAAGAAAATCCATGTGTAACCATAAGCTTGAGTGGCTCTTCTCTATACTACCAATAAGAAGAGCAACCTCTGTGTTCCTGGTGACTTAATTATTTCTCCATGACTTTTAACGGTCGTAGATCTTCATGGGATTTGGGGCCACATTTTGATGATGCCTCCAGGAAGCTGTTTTATGAATTTTTGTTGGAGTTTGAAAAATAGGTATTATAAAATTTAATTGGCAGCAAATTATGCTTTCAACATATATGATTAACTTTAAATATAACTTTATTTAAAAATACATTATTACCTAGATATTATTAGTAATTTCAATTCCTGCTAAAATCACTGTGGCAGGTAGATTTGAAATGTAACTCACTTGTTACTCAAGACAGTTATTGTTATGTTTTTATGAATGAGGGACTTAAGATATCAAGGGATAATAATTAACATTTTCCCAAAGTATGAGTATTGCCCTAGAAGAGATGATCTACCTGGCAGGTGGACCAAATCAATAATATTATTATTCATTAGTCGTCATAGTATCCCACCAAAAAAGATATCTTTCTGGGTATATAAACACTCTCCTCCCACTCCCCAACATACGCACTTTATAACACACATAGCCACAGACTTTTGCCACATTCTCTCTTTCTTTTTTTAGTTATTCATTTCACTTTTTGGAAATATTTTAAGATGTACATAGAATTTGCAAATCCTACTTTAAGCTTCATGAGCTTGATTCTTTTGAGGAATACAGAACCAATTTTTCTAGAATGTTCTGAACCGGTTTGTCTGATTTTTCCTCATGATTGTATTTAGGCTCTTCATTTTGGGCTGCAATATCATAGCAGTGATGCTATATTCTTCTCATTGCAAGTCATGCAGTGTGAGTGACATCTATTTGTCATGTCACTGGTGATGTTAACTTTGGTCACTTGAGTAAGGTGGTATTTGCCAGGTTTCTTTAGTATTAAGTAACCATTTTCCTCTTTACAATTTTTTTTGTGGGAAGAGACTTTGAGCCTGTATAAATATTTGTTTCTCATCTAAATTTCATCCACGTTTTCTTGCCTGAATTACTACTTAAATGATTGCCAAGTGGTGATTTCTAATTTAATTATTTCTTCTACATTTATACGTTAGCATTCTGTAAGGAAAAGCTTTCCCTTCCCCTCACTTGTTATTCACTCATTTATTTATATCACTGTGGGCATATAGATTCCTATTTTATTCAGTGACACATAATCTGCTACTATCATTTGTTTGGTAATCAGATTGCCTTGGAATCGGCTAGGGGAAGCTCCGTCAAGCTGGCTTCTGAACACCCCCATCACTCTTTGAGCACATCTGAACTTTTTGGTATAACGAGATGTTCCAGACTCACCTTGTACTTTCTATTCCAGCCTGAATTCAGCTATCAGTTTGAGATGCCCCGGTTGCTGGTATTTAGAAGCCAAGATATGGACAATGTACTCCATGCTCTGGGATGTCGTTGATCCCAGTCCCTGTCAGAGAACAGAGCCAGGAAGTATATCTAGACATACACGCACAGCTACATTTTAAAATACACACACACTTTTACTTACATGTTCATCTATCAGTCATCTATCTATCATTTATCTATCTAAAACCATAAATTCACACTGATACATTCAATTCCAAACAAACACTGTAGAGTTCATTTTAGCTTTCCCGGTTTCACATTTGTAACTCCCTTTTCAGGCAGTGAAGAATATGGCTCCAGTTAACCTCAATGTACTTATTTATTTGATTAGTCTACCTGTACTTAACAGTCTCCTGGCTTCTCTCTTGGCTACATACCTCAAACAGGACCCTGGCATAAATTCTTGCTGCTACCGCAGCTAAACCAGTGGCCTTTGGTGTAAGTACTTCCCCATGTTTAATTCATTTTCCTTGTCTCTGTCTCTCTGTGCGTGTGTGCGCACACACGTATAAAACACTGGTGATTGAATGGGCAGGGAACCACCATCTTACCCCTGGGTAAGATATAATCATACACTGATCTGATATGAATTAAATGGACTGTATCTTCAATTAGTGAACAAGTTAAAGATTGTAGTGATAGAGCTATCTATTATTCATTGCTTTCAGGATCTAATTGCTCTTCAAATAGCAGCAATATTTAAATATAAGTTAATTCTTCCTTGTTAAGAATCATCTACATGATTACCTGCAATACTTTTTCTAAATACTCTAAATTCAGAAATGGGTTTTATAACTTTTGAAATAATGTGTATAAGCCTACTGGTTTTCACAAAGGCAATTTTCTTTTCTTTATATAAATATCTGAAAGCATAAGAGATTCATATGAAGCGAGGAAAATAAAACTCATATCAACAAATAATAACAAAGGTTTGCAATGTAAACATTTGCATAAGACAAATAGTATGGAAATAACTAAGCCAAATCTTTACATTAACAGAGGACACTGTCTATATATTTCCTGAAAAAAATTTATTAAAATGCAGAGTTGCTAGACAACACATGGTGTTGCCATATTGTTGTCAAAATCTGAGGGACGGCCTTGTGAGGAGTTTGCTCGCCGGCTATGACTTTGCTGTTTGCCTGTGATATGGTTGTTGTTCAGTCGTTAAATTGCTCTATTCTGTGCTCCAGGATTTGCATTCACATTACAGACTACAGTGTGAAGGATGTTTCTTATTAGGGAAGCATCTATGTTAGTTCTTCATTGCTCTGCAGCTTGTATCAAGATTATGAGAAAGTTTTAGCGCTGATACGGATGCACCTTGACATATTTATAAGCCTTTCTTCTTTTGTGTTTACCTCTTAAGATCCTTATGAAACTGATGGCCCAAGAGTGAAGACACCCTAAATACTATAGCAGCACAATTAACTCGAGAAGGGTGATTGATGGCTAGGCCCTTAAAAAGCAACTCTGTCCTGCCAATATGCCTCAGTCTCTGCTCCTGGTCACAGAGTTCTGTTTTCTTTCAGACAGATTAGCACTTAGAACATGGAGATTTTATACCTGAGGGTCAGTTTGTTAAATCAAAGAGTATAATAGATCCTTGACAAGTTTCAATTGAACTTTTGGACAAATAGCAAGTGACCTCAAGTGTATTTTGCTTTGGGACAGATTTGAATCCCTCAGGCTGTGTGGTCTGTGTGTGCAGCCTGCCATGCACTCAGTAGCGAATCAGCTTAGCTGACTCTCCAGACTTTGCAGCTCAGCGCAGCCCCATTGCTCGCTTCTATTATTACAGTAATGGTCCCATGGAGAAGGATGTGCTTAGTGGTATTCTCATAATTTGGCATCTGTGAAGCTCTTCTGTCATATTGCTTGTTCAGGTCAAGGGTCCATATTTTGATATTTTCTCTACTCTCGTAATTCTAACAGTATTTTTGAACAGATGGGTTACCGTTGCATTGAAGTTGTGAATAAATCGGAATGTTGCCTTCTAGTTAGTGGTTAAGCACTTTTCTTCCTTCCTCCTTTCCTCCCTTCCTTCCACCCTTCCTTCCTTCCTTCTTTCCTTCCTTCCTTCCTCCCTCCCTCCCTTCCTTCCTTCCTCTCTTCCTTCCTCCCTTCCTTCCTTCCTTCCTTCCTCCCTCCCTTCCTCCCTATCTCCCTTCCTTTCTTCTCTCCTTCCCCCTTTCTTCCTCCCTCCCTTCCTTTGTTCTTCCCTCCTACCTTTCTTCCTTCCTCTTTCTTCCTCCTTTTCTCCTTCCCTCCCTCCTCCATTCTTCACTCCATCCTTTTTTGTTGTTTGATAGGCTCTTAATCTCAAACCTGTGGTTTTACGATCCGCAGAATCTTTTTCATTATCAGTCCCCTCCCTCATTCTTTCTATGCTGTAACCAATCTTCAGCATATATTTTTCAATTTCCAAGAATCATGTGCTTTCTTTTACATTAGTTCGGGGCTTTCATCTCTTTCTTGTCTGGTACTTACCTCGTTTTCTATTTCCACGGCCTTATTTAACTGCAGCAGTAGTTATCTGTGTTATAATAATATAACAATAGTCGGAAAGACCTGAGCTGAAAATCAACTCTGAAAACTACTGGCTGTGTTTGTGCATGCCTTGAATACCTATTTCACCAGTTTATAGTACATAGCAAAAGAAACAATGTATGACAGTGCTCATCCCAAACCAGGCATCAGTCAAGATGGACAAATGTTAGAATAAATTCCACTAGGCAGGAATCTTTGACTCTTATGTCCACAAGCACCTAATACAGTGCCCGGAACACAGTAAGTACTTGATAAAAGCAAGTCAGCTGTTGCCATGGTTCTAAAGCTGCTGTAGCCCTCACTTTTTCTCAGTGCTTTGAAACTTAAACATCAACGGTGTGCATGTAAAGTATATAATAAAAGTCTGACACAAATAGGTGATTTAGCTAGAAATATATTTTTAGAAACATATCATTGGGCAAATGATTGGTGAGTGTTCTTGGGAAAACATCTTCCAAAAGACTAAAGATCTCTTGTTTTATCCTTCTCAGGCGTCCTGTTTTCACTGGTGGTGACACTGTACGTCATCTGGGTCCAGGCCGTGGCTGACATCGAAAGCTACAAAAACATGAAAATGAAAGACTGCGTGGATTTTACCCCTTCTATTCTCTATGGCTGGTCATTTTTTCTGGCCCCAGCGGGTATATTGTTTTCTTTGCTCGCTGGGCTACTATTTCTAGTTGTTGGGCGGCATATTCAGATTCACCACTAATCAGGCTATTGCTACCAGTGTTTTCTTGAGAGAGTTTAAAACAACAAATTTTTATTTTTCATTTTGTTTCAGTGACCCAGGGTAGAGTTAATTGGTGAAACTTTTTAGTTGCTATTCAAATTAACCATTTACTTGTGATTTCCTCCGATAAGAAGGTTCTAGAATCTCTCCAGACACCAACCTGTTTCCACCTTATCTAAATGCTATCAAAAACCTGGTTCTTTAGGGAGCAGGTAACAGGGCCTCCTTTTCAATTGCACTGGTTAGAGTTCGCGCAGAATGCGAATATGATAGCATAATATCAGCTGGGGCAAATCAGGACTTGATTTAAAGCCTCCTTGGCATTTACTTCTGTTGCTACCTAGAAAAAATCTTTGGAGAATAATTAAGAATGGAAGCAAATGTCAGAGAATTTACTCCGTTTCTTCTCTGCACACATATATTTCCACATACACGTTCACTGGCTCCTGTGAGCAAAGTATTCGTTACTTAAAAATGGATAGCAGTTATTCTTGTAGCTGGGGCCACACAAACTCATCAGTTAAAATGGGCCACAACAAAACTAAGAATGTGTACTTTTTCCACTTTCTTACCAACAGTAGTTTGGATACCTAATTTCATTCAGTTAATTTTACATCAACCTTAAACTATATTTAAAAGTAGCAGATCTGCACAGCAAATTACCTATGATACTGATTGGATTTTTAAGAACTTAAAGTGAGTTAATTGTATACTTAATATGGTTGAAAATATGTAAAAAGCAAGAACCTTAGCTTAGTATATAACTCTATTTGATATTTTAAAATTCCCATTTAAAATTATATTGCTAATATGTTCAGCATGTGAAAATTCATTGATGAAATGTGCTTTTTCATATGCTCGAAATAGTTCCGTATGAGGAACTTTATTAAAGACTATGAAATATGAATTTTCCCCAAGATTTCAAGGGTTGTAGTTCTTCTGATCATTTGATTCCCTTAATTATCGTCTTTCAATTCCTCCATCTTGACAACAGGTATATTAACATTTATAGATTTGTGATTTCCTTTAACCTCTTGAAAGAAAACTTTTGCTTTTGGCAGTAGGGGTGGGGGTCAGAGTGGAATAATTCTGTATTATTTACTAGCATAGACATTTTGCATATCACAGAGGTTTATTTGGCACCAGTTTTCATTGAACTCAAATCCATCTGAGAAACCTCAGTCCTGTTTGGAAGCCTTCACCAGGGAGAGCTTGGTGGTAGCGAAGGAACCAAGTACAGTGTGGTAGTGAGCTGTGTTCCAGGGGCAGTGTTTTACTCCACAGCTGTTGTGACTCTGAAGGCAGGACTCAGAGGTAAATTAAGGGTGATCACCTGGAAGGTGCTGTGGGATCGAGGGACTGTTGCCTTCTATCCAGCTGTCCCCCAGTGGAGAGATTGCCAGAGTCTTCTCTCCACATCTCTTACTTTCCGTTAAACCATGTTTCAATGGGAGTGGGGGATTTCTGGAGGAATAGCAAAACAATAGTAAGGAGAGGCATTTTAGTGATTAAGGACAGTTAGGACTGCATGTAGTAAAAACAAAAATAACAACAATAAAAAGCTTCAGGGGTTTAACTGCTTTCTCAAGCCATTTCAGTTTATATCATAAACAATTTGGTGGCACTTTCCTTTCTCTTCTTCTGTTTCATTTTTATATTGCTTCATTTATTTCTTTGCTTTTGGCTTGATTATTAGAAAAGTAATTATGGGTTCTATTATGCATATTGACTGTGATATTAAGTTATGGCATGCCATTAAGTTTTCCAGACGATGCTAGATGTATTTGATTAGTTCGTGTCATCTGTAAATACAATTCCGTTTTGCAGAACTTTGGAATGGAGCCTTTTCCTGCTGTATTATATGTCATTTAATTTTCATATACAAGTTGCGTTCAGTAAAGGTTTGAACATTTATAAATTTCAGGTGGTTATCCTCACTTTCTAATGCACTTATGTGGCTACCATATATTTATCATAAGACAATTGGCTGAATATCTGATGTGCATGACACTTTTACACAGACCCACACTTTGGAAGTATTTCATGATTGTAAGGTATCAATCACATTAATTCAAGCACATTTCCTGATCTACTTACCAGCAGTCCTCAGAAGGGGGGAAGCTGAGTTGTGTTTGCTGTCAATGAGTAAAATATACTTAAAAATAGCAGACCTACAGCATATTTTTGTAACAGCCTTGTGTCTGATTTGAGATAGTATGTTGCAGATTTTTTCTCTCTTTAGCATATTGATTAATTTTCAGGAGCTTCCTAACAAAGTTTTAAAATCTTAAGAGTGTTTATTTTGCATTATAAAGTTTTAGTTTGACAAATAAGATATTTTTGGTGACCATTCTAGAAAGTGAAACAAGAGGGCAGTGAGTCATGCCCTCAGAGTTTGCGGGAAGCTGTGATCTCTCTGCATTGTGTTTGTTCAGAGGGTTTAGTTTGGTCAGGCAGCAGATAGCACGTGCACTGAACCTGGTGGGGCCATACAGAGAAGCTGACTGATGATGTTCAACTTGGGGATTGAGGGCAGGACTTAAAAATGCTATTAAGTATGCTCTTACTGATCATTTAGTCACTTTTATAGCTAATCTATGATATATATATATATATAC